GAATGGCTACGTGGTTAGAAAAAATTATGACTTTCATCCCCAACAAGTATTGTTTGAATTTCTCCAGAGCAAAAACAATGGACAACTGCTCTTTTCTATGGTTGAATAATTTGCTTGCGTACTGTCCACGGTTTTTGAGGCGTAGTAAGTAACACGAGGGACCCAAGATTTCCTTTGTCCCAGTACAACTCCAACAACAAAATTGCTCATGTCACACATAATCTCAGAAGGCAAACTCAATCTAGTGGCTGAATAATAGGACCTGAAGTGAGTAGATATTTTAGCAAGTCAAAAGCCTTTTTGCAATATTCATTAAAATCAAACTCTTGATCTTTTTGTAGAAGTTGGCACATAGGTACTGTGATCTTTGAAAAGTCTTTAATAAACCCCCTATAAAATCCTGCATGCCAAGAAAAGAACACACTTCCCGAACACTCTTCGGGTAAGGTAAGCCTCTGATAATATCAATTTAGCTCTGTCTACTTCTAAACCTCTTTTTGACACTACATGACCCAAAATCAGACCTTGGTCGACCATAAAATGAAACTTTTCAAAGTTTAAGACCATATAAGTTTCAACGCATCTTTAAAGAATTTTTATGAGGTTTTTAAGACAGATGTCAAAGGAATCTCCATCAACAGTAGATTCGTCCATAAATACTTCTATGTAAATTTCTACATACTCAGAAAAAAATACTTACCATACACCTTTGGGAGGTGGCAGGTGCATTGCAGAGTCCAAAGGGCATGCGTCGGTAAGCGAAAGTTCTGAATGGATAAGTGAAAGTTGTTTTCTTTTGATCTTATGGAGGAACTAGAATCTATTTAAAGCATGAGAATCCATATAGACAACAGTAATGTGACTTTCCAGCAAGCCTTTCCAACATCTCATCGATGAACGGAAGTGGAAAGTGATCCTATTGGGTGGCAGCGTTTAATTTCCTATAGCTGATTCAGACACGCCATCATTTTTGAACTCGAGTAGGGACTAACGATCTTTCTTCATTTTCAACCACTTTCACTCCAACTTTCTTCAATACGACTTGAATTGGACTGACCCATTTGCTTTTAGATATCAGTTACATCATTCCAACATCCAAAAGTTTCATTATTTCCTTCTTAACCACTTCCATCGTCGAAGGGTTCGACATTCGTTGGACTTCTCGTGAGGGCTTAAAATATTCTTCCATCAGTATTTTATGCATGCACAAAGATGGCTAAAGTCCTTTTATATATCAGTTATAGTGCACGTAATCAAGTTCTTATACCACTTCAGAAACCCAATCAGTTCAAATTCTTCTTTTTCTGAAAGCTTTTTGGATATAATAACTTGCATTGTTTCTTCTTCTCCAAGTAACGAATATTGCAGATGTTCTGGTAGAGTCTTCAACTACAACATGGGTTCTTACACTACAGAAGGAAAAAGTGTGGAGTTACAATCAGGTAACTTCATAATCTAATTATCATGCCTGATTTTCTTCTGCTGGTCCATGTGAGCTGCCATTTCTTGCACTTGCTTGTTAAGAACATATTTTTCTGATAAAACCTGAGCTACATTAACTGATTTTTTTTGGAGTACTAAAGCTAGTGACTCTGACTTAGTAATCTTAAAATATTTAGCAGTTAATGGTTTGATTACATCTATGAAATTAAGAGCAAAAACATCATCCGGATAACGCATTGCATGATACATATTAATGTCGATAACTTCACCATCAAATTCCATGGAAAGGGTACCAACATAAACATCTATTTTAGTTCTTGAAGTTTTCAAAAGTGGTTTCCCCAAAAGAATAGAACTAGAATTCGGTGAGTCGTCCTATTCCATATCTAAGAGGTAAAAATCAATTGGGAATATCAGCTCATTCACTTGGACCAAAATGTCCTCCAGTACACCTTTTGGGTGTACTAGTGAACGATTAGCCAACTGAATGATAACACCTATTCTTTTTAATGGACATACCCCAATATTTTTAAAAACTAAATAAGGTAAAACATTTGTTGAGGATCCTAAGTCCATCATGGCACATGGCACTCAAAGATTCACCAACTTGCAATGAACAATGACTACTCCTAGATCTTAGTATTTGGGGGGTAAACTTTTTTGTAAAATAGATGAAACGTTTTGGTAACCTTAACTATTTCATTACCTTTTAGTTTTCATTTATAAGTACATAGTTCTTTAAGAAATTTGACATTCGGTGTAGCTATTTTATAGCATCTAGAAGTGGTATGTTTACCTCAACTTTTCTAAAGAAGTCCATGATCTCTCTGTCCTCCTTCTCTTTATTTTTCGTGTTTTTTAGTGTTGAGGGAAAAAGAGGAGAGGAGTAATATTTACTTCAGCTTCTGTAGGCTTGTCTTTTTTCTATAAGTCTTTTGTCATTTCAGATGCTTGCTCAACTACAATCTCTTCTTCCTCATATTCTTGCTGATCTAGTCCCTTGTAGTTTTAACCACTTTCGAGAGTAACAACACAAGCGTTGTGCTTTGGGTTTTCTCAGACTGAGATGATAACTTTCCTTACGCTTGTGCCTCTAGTTTGCTCATAGAGTCCGCGAGTTATGATACTTGATGCTCCAGATTATTGATACTAGATTTTGTCTCATTCTGAAAAGCATGGGTACTGGTAGCAAGACTTTTAACAATTTCTTCTAGAGACATGCTGGAAATGCTAGCTTGCTGTTGAACAGGTGGTTGCTGAAAATTAGGATGATGTTGATTTTGCTTAAAAGATTGTTGTTGAAATCCATGTGGATGTTGGTACTGATTTCTTTGCTAAAAGTTCTGTTAGGGTCTTTGTTGAAAATTTTTCTGGAATCCTCCCTAAGCTTGATTGTTGTGCAGCTGATCAAACTGTCTTTTTTGTGCTTGATAACCTCCTATTCCCTAGAAAGCTTCTGTGTATTCTTGTAATATTGGGCATATGTCTATTAGGTGCCCAGTCTTCAAGCATATCCCATAAGATTTGACCTTTGGTTCAACACCATTTTCTTTCGTCAGTAAAAAAACAACCTTTGTCAATTCTGAAATCTCAGATTCAAGATTTGAAAGTATCATGATTGACACTTTCAAAATGAAGTATTTGGGTGCTACTCCTAAATCCTCAATTGGATAATACTTCAAAGTTTGAGAACAAAAAAAAAGATATGTTTTTGTCTGTTGTGTTCTTCAACATATTGTAACATCTCCACTTAAAATCTTTGCCTAGAATTTGCTTAAATATGTCACTTGGTTGAAAACCATCACATGAAAGTTACAACATTCAAAACTGACACAAAGCGGGCTTTTAACCATTGGATAATTAGTTTAACCAACGGATATCCACCAACAGTCAAACCTGACACAAAACTGGCATTTTAAACATTGGACATAACACCGAATAACACGTGTTCCAACACAACCTTGTTGCGATTCGTTCCGATGCGATCCTATGTGGATCATTTCGATGCGATCCAAAGTGAATAGTTTCGATGTGATCTGATGCGAAATTTACGATGCATAGCGTTCCAACGAGTTATGGTCAATGACAATTGAACAGTAACATGCTTTTCAATGCGAAAGTTCCAGTGTGTTGTGTTCCAAGGAGTTGCGATAAATCACAACTGAACAGTAACCACTTTTGTTACGAAAATACATTCACATCATAATCAGTTCCAATTACTAAATCGAATTCACATCATAATCAAGTTTGAGATCAATTTTGTTCCAAAACCAATTTCAATCCGAGACCAATTTCACTTCGAGATCAATTCATCTTTTGAAGTCATTTTCGGTCCGATGCCAATTACATTCCGATACTAATTTTGGTTCCAATATCAGTTCAAGTCGGAGATCATGTTGTTGCGATTTCAATTTAATTTCGAACTCAATTTGCCTTCACTTTAAATCTTGTATAAATGTAAACAAGTGTGTACTCTACATCTTCTTTACTTGTTTAATATTCATCAAGATTGATTTAGTCAACAAGTCAATGCATTACACTTAGTGAACCAATTCACCAACAATCATTAAAACATAAATATTCATAACACATATATTTATATTTATATTTTTAATTAAATACCATAATTTTGCAGATTCATAAATCAATATGCATGTTAAAGAGGAGAAAATTCCAAAAATTAAAAAAAATCCAAAAATATTCTACTACATCGGTACATCGAAATTCACCTACTACACATGTTTCAAACATGAAATGTAATCATGATAATTTTAGTTTATTTTTTTATGTCTTCATTTTTTTATTGGTTATGTCAATTTATAATTAGGGTTATTTATATCATTTATGTAAACTATTATGTTTATTTTTTAATTTTCTAATATTTAATGTTTTCTTACTATCAAAATTATGCTACATTTTTTGTTCACTACTAGAAAAACAACCTTTTACGACGTGCAATCAATGACACGCACTGATAGAGGACACACATTTGTGCGTGCCCTATAAATTGATGTCAGTTTTCCAAAATATAATGCATAGAGGACATGCATTTTTGCGTGCCCTAAAATTAGTGTCTAATAAAAAACACACGGAGGGAACCTTAAACAAAATGTGTGTCGTCTAACCATGCCGCTTTATAAATTTTAATGAAACGCGCGTTGCATCTCAAGAAGGGATATGAAATCCCAAAAATTAAAAACCCCGCTTTGTTTCCACCAGCTGAAAACCCTAGCTCATCCCTGTGGAAAACCCGTTTCTTTCTTTCTTCTCTCTCGATTCTCAAACCTCCACTGCTTCACTTCTCCACATCTGCTCTCTAATATCCCATCTCCAGCACGATCCTCTCACAGCTTCGCATCTTCGTCGCTTGTTCCCGTAACTTCTCCACATATTCTCTCCAATTTCTGGCCAGCTTTCTCTGTACGCCTGGTTCTTGTTCGACAACCGGAGATTGAGACACTGTTGGTGGACTGAGCAAGGCCATCCACCGTTGGGTAGACCCTCACACCACGCACCTCCGACCACAACTCCTTCTCCCATTCTTCCTTCCCTCTATCATGAACCTCCCCCCAACCTGCAATGTTGGAGCAATTGTGGGTACTAAATCGTCATGGTCGCGATCAAGAAGAAAAATCAAAACCGCGTTGCTGGTGGCTACTAGATCGACCATGGTCAATCAGCCCAATCTCTATCTCAGGTTCGTATTTTTTTAGGTTATTCTTCCATTAAATAACATACTATGCTTAGATCATTGATAATTTTTGTTTCTTTTTATGAATATGTTTGCGTTGATTGAGGTTTTGAGTTAATTGGTTATTATTTAACGTTTTAATGAATTATCTCGATCGATAACCGGTTTAAGTCAATGCGGTTCAATCCCAAAAAGGTTATTCTTATTCTTATTAATTCTTAAGTGGCGTTTTCTTCTTTTTCTATAGTCCTTGGTTTCCTTTTGTCTTTCAGATGCGCAAATAGTCAGCTTTCAAGGATTTGGAAGTGAATCAAACTGTAAATGCAATAGAGGAAATTGTGAAGGAGAATTATTTGGCAAGTATTTTTATTCAACTCTATTTAAGAAATCTCATTTTCAAAAATACCCTTTTTTTATGATAAATATATTCTTTTTTTTTTGTAGGGTGATTGCATCTATCATGTCTCTTCTAGATTCTTTAACAACTGAAAGATTACTCATGAACTTAAGCTAAAATTTGGCTCTAGTTTACATAGAAGGATACATATCACATAGGTAAAGTCTATCTTGCATTATAAACTCAATTTTTACATTTTTCTACAACAGATTTGTAATTTCATCACATGTCAATAGGCAAATGATGACAACATTCTAGAAGATCCTTTCAGCAACTTCAAAATTGGTCAAACTTTGACCACAAGGATTGTGTCAAAAACCAATGGTGAAAATAGTAACAACATTAAGTGGGATTTGGCCATTAAACCATCAATACTTTCAAGTGAAAAACATGTTTCATTTATCAAAACTCACACATTTCTTTAGTCATATAACATATCTACAAAATTGTCACATTATAACCAAAGGTTTAGCAGCAGCAGTCTACTTAGCAGTCAACAGTCTACTTATGAGTCAATGCAATTTGAACAATTTCGTATTGCAATGGTAGTACACCCAAAAATATGAATAATCAACAATCTTACACTTCTTTATGTTTTCATTTTCACAAAATTTCTTTACTTCAAGATGCTTTGTATGTTGTTCATGTCAGCAAAGAGAACCAAGAAAACGTTTGTGAAATGCTTGCAATAGTTTTATGGCTGGGAAATGTAACATTTTCACTTGTTGATGATGAAAACCATGTGGTTGATGAAGGTAATGCATACTATTTGGGGTTCATACTTTAGATCTTTTATCCATTAAGGCATATTTCTTTTTTCATTTAGTAACATATAATGTCAACGGCAGCTCTTCAAATTGTTGCTAAATTGCTTGGGTGTCGGATTGAGCAACTACAGCTTGCTTTGTCCTCTAGGGAAATGCAAGTTCGTGGTGAAAAATTTATTAAAAAGCTAACCCTATCCCAGGTAATAAAATTAATAAATACAAACATCTGTATGTATAATAATAAGTATAAAAAAATATTATGAATTATTTCAGGTGATTGACGCAAGGGATGCATTGGCAAAATCGATATATTCTTTTTTGTTTGATTGGTTAGTGGAACAAATCAACAAGTCACTTTCTACATGGAAACACATGTCAGGGAGATAAATTAGTATTCTTGACATCTATGGATTCGAGTCATTTGGTGCTCATCACTTTTGCTGAGGAACTTTCTGATAGTTGGAATGAAGATCCATATATGCTATCTATTAAAGCATTTGATCACCCCTTTGTTTTCCCAGGTACACATTCTTTCTTAAATCTCTTCTTTGATTTAGTTTTAGACATAGAGCTATAGAGGGCAATCGTTTTATCTGTAAAGAGAATTTTTGTCCCTGTAATTTGTCATTTCAATCAACGAGAATTACATTCCTCTGAATATAATTGCTCTAACTATCTTATCCATATAAAATACTACATTTTTCTTGTTTACAGTAGAACAAGTTCATATACTAGCATGCTTGTGTGCATATAAATAGGATACACAAATCATTACACCCTTCATGGTTGCTGAAGTAATGAGTAAAAATGGCATAGGCCCAAATGTCAAAAAGCAAAACGGTGAGGCCAATGGGTCCCCTATTTCTGCAGTTACAAGTCCTGATTTTGTCAACGGTGTTGTACCATGGAGCTGTAAGGGAAGATTCTATTAAAACTACTTTAGCACAGGACAACTATCAGTTTGCTAAATTAAGTGATCAATGGAATTGAACTTATTTAACTAAAACTTATTATGTATGGTCCAAGAAATAATGCAACATAAATTGGTGTTAATTGAGACATAAGATGTGGTTGGAACTACTTAAGCACAGGACAACTATCAGTTTTATACAGATTTTGTTTTTTCAAGTATGAGTTAGATGTATAAATTAGACAAAATTGGAGAACTGTGTAGACCAAAATCAATGTCATTGGTTATTTTGTAAAATTGTAAGAAAGTAAGTGCTAGTTTGTGATTTAGTAGAGTTATGTTGATGACACATGAACTTGATCAATGAAGTAGTGTGCTATAATAAACAAATAAATGAACCTATGTTGCTAATTCTGCGTTTAAACTTTTAATATTGTGTTTTTTTTTCTTTTTTTGAAAATTGTTAGTAGTTTTTTTAACAGATTGTAGCCTCAGAATCCATATGAGAGACTGGAGCAATTGCAAGTTCTCGGGCTGCTAAAATTGGGCTTGATATTCTAGCACAAACAATCCAGGTGTCACCTAGTTATTAAAGTTATATTTGTAAACATGTATATAAATACAATGGCATTTCGGTCATTATACCCCCATAAAAGTGTTTAAAAAAGATAGGTAACTATTTGTTGCGCTTAATTTATGGATTGATAACATTAAAAAAATCATATCTCATAGTATTTTTCAAATATACATTTCTCCTTTTGTCTTACAATTGTTATATTGAATGTTCAGGATGATTTAGATAACATAACTCGTTTTCTAATACTAGCAAGAGAACCTATAATCCCAGGAATTGACAATCCCCATAAGGTAATAAAAAAGATAATTTATTTTATTGTATTTTTCATCAAATTATCAAATCATATATAAACTACCCAAACAACATTCAAATTTTATTTTACTGCTTCAATTTTGTAGACGAGCATTGTGTTTACATTAAAAGAAGGCCCTAGGGTCTTGTTCAACGCTTTAGCTGTGTTTTCTCTAAGGAAGATCAACTTATCAAAAGTAATTAAGTTATTTTTTCACCCTTTTATTTAATATTTTTGTGACCGAATAAAAGTCTTAATGAAAGTAATTGACAACCCTTTTTCTGTAAATGATGTTGTGATTGTGGGAGAGGTGTTGTGTTTTTCTCTGTTGCTAGGTAACCTTCTCAACAACAGCATTCTACTTAAGCAGGTGAGTAATCAAGATTAAGGGAGACTTGTAATCATGTTTGGCATTCCTTTCCAGTACACATTAAGCAAGTTGTACGCACACAAGGCATTGGCAGAAACAAATAACATGAAATGTTTCCAGTAAGAAACAGAGTTGTATGATTATTTGTTAGTTTTATAGGAATGTATAACGCATGTTAGCAATGTATTATTTTTGTTTAACATTTGAGTGATTCTTTGTATGACATTATAATTTGTGCAATTTATTTTATTTTTTGAGTGTGAAATTTTATTTTATATTATGCAATGGATTGTATTTTTTGTATATGGTATTTTATTTATATTATGAGAAATTAAATGCAAATTTAATTTAAAAATTAATAAATATATAAATTTATTTTTTTAAACATTTAAATTTACGATACGCAAAAATGTGTGTCATCTTCATTTATGACATGACTTTTCTTGACAGGGGTTTTAATGATACGCATTGCGTGTCATAAATGTGCGTTGTCTACAGACGACACGCAAAAGCGTGTCATCTCTCGTTATGACAGGGCCTTTCTTGACGCGCATTTGCACGTCGTAAAAGGTGTTTTTCTACTAGTGGTTGATATTTTATTTTATTTTTATCTACATAATAATTATAAAAATATCAACCGTGGTTTCCACGGGTTATAACCTAGTATCAAATAATCGAGTTCAAATGAAAAGCTTTTTAAAAATTAGAAATAAAATTAATCTTTTTTGAACGACAAATAAAAATGATTAGTAAATGATAAAAACTTAAAATACATCTCTATCCATATTCTTTTAATTCATAGTTTTCTAATTTCATTTTTAAATAAAGAAATAATAACCTCCAATATTCGGGTGTCGGTATAAGCAAAAACCAAATCCAATTTCATAAAAATAAGGTAAGACCGGAGCGAGTGGGCATGATTTGGCCGCACTCTTTGCCACACAGGCGGGGAACACCGCTCCCCTATGCGGTTTTGGGTGCAGTTTTAGCGCACCTCTCCACTTAAATGTCATGCTTCTTTATTGGTTAAACGGATATATGAACGTTGAACAGGCAAATGTCGTGTGTGTGTGTGTATATATATATATATATATATATATATATATATATATATATATATATATATATATAGGCTTAAGTTCAAATGAGAACACTATTTAATGTGAAAACGTAATAACACTCCTTTATGTTACTATTCTACTATGAATTTAATATGTATAGTATTGTAGTAATTATAATATGAATATATTAAATTTTATATTGTTATTCTACTATAAAATTAATATATATATATATATATATGTGTGTGTGTGTGTGTGTAGTAATTTAGTAAATTCTAATGTGAATGTTAAATATGTGATTGTTCATATATTCGGTGATGAATAATATCATAAAGTTGTACAGACAAAATTTTAATGTGAATATTAATGTCCATTTATATATATATATATATATATATATATATATATATATATATATATATATATATATATATATATATAACATCCCAAAAATACGACCCAAATTTTTTTTGTTTTAATAATAATAAAAATCATATACTAAACAACATATCACAAAACCATATGTCAAATATCTCAAATCATAATAAAATGTCATGAAACAACTGTATCAAATCAAACTAAGAATCAAAACAAACTCCCAGGACAAAGACTGAAGTTGTGGTGTGTGTGATGCCATCATCCCGAGCTCTTCCCTTTACTTGTTGAAGTACCTTAAACCAAAACTAAAACTGTAAGCACGAAGCTTAGTGAGCTCCCCCAAACTACCACATACCATACAATAATATGTAAACACATACTAGGCCTTTCCCACTTCATCGGACTGAAGTCCGGAACTAACCAGGGCCTTGCCCTCTGTATCGAACCGGAGTCCGAAAACTGCATCAGACCGAAGTCTGGAAGTCCGGAACTAACTGCATCGGACCGAAATCCGGAACTGACTGGGACCTTGTCCCCTGAATCGGACCGAAGTCCGAAAACTGACTAAGCATATCATAGCATAGCATAAACATATCAACTAGCATGAACACATAAACTGTATACTACATCGGGCTGTAGCCCGAAACACATAACACATAAATCCTATCTGAGCCACGAAGGCATCAAACATACTAACTACTGCATCGGACCGAGTTCGGAAACTACTGCTAGCTAAACGGGCCGGCATTGTGGCCTTAGATCCGTTCCTACTGGAAGCAAACTCACCTCGTGATGCTGACTGCTGAACTCCTGAATAAGAAATCCCCGACTGCTGCTCCGGCTGCTTCCCAGCTATCATGGGAAATAAAATACTAAATCAGAATAGGGATTCTCATATGGGTAAAATAACCATTTTACCCCTGTTATGGCATGGGTCACAACATGGCCCAAAACCCTCAATTCTTTCTAAGCCCATCCATGGCCCCACTTAAGGCCCACTAATGGCCCAATTTGCTCCATTGGGCCCAAATCCCTTTATTGGGCCTTACCCAAGCCCAATACTAACCTTTGGCCCATATTACAGAATTATGAAGGCCATTAAGGCCCAAATACCCTAAGTCCCAAACTCAGCCCACACCGAGGCCCAAACGCTCGAAGCCCAAACTGGCAGCGTACGCGGGGCGTATACCGAGGTACGCTCAACGTACTGGCTACTGGCTGGTACGCGGCGCGTACCTCCTTGTATGCCCACCGTACATCCCTGTTAAGCCAAAGTCTCATTAAGTGCTTAATAATCCGGGTCAGAAGCTAAAATCTTAGATCCAGGTCTTATCCTACGTCTGAAACCATAAAGTTGCTTACTTAACGGCTTACAAGAGGCTCTTAAGCTCAAACTTCTAAAAACAGCCATTTATAACCAAGAAGCTGGCTAGATCTCATGCATGGCTTCATGAGAGCCTCAAAAATCGAAACTTTATTGCTATGGGGGCACTTGAGCTTCAAGGGTAGCAATCCCAAGCTCCAGAAACGAAGTTGCATGATAAAGGTCCTTCCTTTGGACCTAAAAGGTCCAACTTTCAAAAACTCTTAGATCTAAGCTTACAAAGAGGAAAGTTGGAAGCTTTATACCTCTTTTGAATGCCAAATGAATGAATGATCCCAGATCTATGAGCTCAAGGTGCTCAAGTTCTCCTTCTTCCACTTCTCTTCTTTTTCTTCCCAACTTTTCTTCACAAAAAAGAGCCCAAAAGATCAAACACACACACACAACAAGGAGAAAGGGACGAACTAGGGTTTTCTGAGAGTGAGGAGGCTGATGGGAAAATAGGGAAGGAGGCTATAATGGGGTTTATATAGCCTTAAACCCCTAAAATTAGGGTTTTTCCTCTGGCCGCGTATGCTGGGCGTACCATATGGTACGCTGCGCGTACGCTTCTCCTCCCCGCGTTTCATTAAGTCACTACGCCCATCGTACAACGGGTTTACGCCCCGCGTACGGCTTATGGGCAGACTCTAGCTCGGCCCAAAACAAAAGGCCCAATCCCATATACAATTATATTATAACCCCACATAAAATTTGGGAATCTAAATAAATTTATACCTCGGAAGTCGATCGCTACAATATATATATATATATATATATATATATATATATATATATATATATATATATATATATATATATTGTTTTTTTTACCTTAAAACCCAACTTCACCCTTATTTCTTCAAACCAAAACCAACTTTTTATATTTTTCTCTCAAAATCAATATAAAATGTATTCGTCTTCGTCGTCAGAAGAATTTCAAATTTTTTGTGATGTTGCGGTCGTTTATGGTCAAATGAC